GTAAGTTTCCCTTAATTCTTTCTAATTAGTTCTTTTGCCTCCTCGGATTGTTTCTTTTGGCTTGTGTTTTTTTAGATGATTGAGAAAACAGAAGTTTGATCCTTGTCTTCCAAAAAAAAAAAGTAAAGAAAAGAAAACACAGCCCAGAGGAGGACTGAGACTTTCTGTGCGCCTGCACGTCTCTAAATGAGTAAATGTCCCGAATTCCCTCAGAATTTATTATATTTTAGTTTACAGGCATTCAGTCTGAGGAATCTCTAGGACAGTTGTTAGCAGCTAAATATGTCACTAAATTTACCTGTAACTCTGTTTCAAGGAAGCCCGGAGAGTCCGCATGGCGACTGCTCAACTGAGCTGTATGTGCTTCAGGAGCTGTCTGTGGTGCTGAAGCTAAGATTGCCTGCAGTCTGGCGTTGGGACGCATGTCTATGGTCATGGTATTAGAGCTGCCTATAGGGAGCCTAAGTCACTTCCGCACCATGGGTTCCCGGAAGAATAAAAAAATGAATGCAAGTCAACGGGGCTAAAAACGCTATTTTCTAATCCGCTTTGCCTTACGCCCTGGATCACACATATGTTGTACTGCAATTTAAACAAAAACTAATGATGGGTGTTTCCACCACGCCAGTCATGTACTTTGAGATTTATCAGCTTGGAAAAGTTTGTAATTAGCATGACTACAAACCAGAAATCGGCATGTCGCATATGTGACATCACCACATAATCTCCTCTACCCTAAAGTAGCTGCTACTTACCACATGACCAGATTCATGGTGGTTCTTTCCTCCTGTGGGAAGTTTGCTGAACTTCCAGCCATTTCCCCTCAGTTTTCTTCATGTCTGGTTTGATGATGTCACTTTCGTGGAGCACATTTGTAGTCCTGGACTTATTTTCACACAAAACCTAAAATAGCATTTCCCCCTGTTAGAAAATAAGCGCGTTCTTGGTATCAAAATGCGTCGTTAAAATTCACGGTCATCATATATGAAATCCATGGCACAAAACAAGCGTAATTAGAAAATAGCATTTTTAGCCCCTCAGAGATTATAACGCCATGTATTACAGCATTAGAAGTTACTTACCACCTGGCGCATTCGTCTTTGTCTTTACAGCAGAAAATTATCCCTCGTATCCAATATTAATTTCAGAAAGCGTCGTTGCCTTTCAGCTGCCCCCCTCCTCGATGCGCACAGCATAGCTAAACGCTATTGTGATGTGGGTGTAAAGAATATACCAAACACCAACAACAGAAAGAACGTGCTGCTGCCTGGACTCCATTGTTGTTGTGTTTTGGCGCATTCTCGTCGCGTTGTGTGACGTTAAGGCACACATCGCGCGTGACGCATTACGCTACCTCGCCTGGCAACTGGAGCCTGGAATGCGATAGAAACGCTTGCTAGAAAACTTCTAGACCTATACCGGAATATAGCGGCCCATAAAACTCAGACCCGACCTTTCCAGACCAGGCGATGGAAAAGAGCTATTAGGCTTCTTATGGATCAGTCCTGATGCTAGAGCTGCCTATGGTCCTGATGCTAGAGCTGCCTATGGTCCTGATGCTAGAGCTGCCTATGGTCATGATACTCGAGCTGCCTATGGTCCTGATGCTAGAGCTGCCTATGGTCATGATGCTGCTGTCTATGGTCCTGAAACTCGAGCTGCCTATGGTCCTGATGCTAGAGCTGCCTATAGTCATGATGCTACTGTCTATGGTCCTGATACTAGAGCTGCCTATGGTCATGATGCTGCTGTCTATGGTCCTGATGCTAGAGCTGCCTATGGTCATGATGCTGCTGTCTATGGTCCTGATACTAGAGCTGCCTATGGTCCTGATGCTAGAGCTGCCTATGGTCAAGATGCAGCTGTCTACTGAGGAGTGGTACTCCTCTTATCTCTCTGAGCGCTCCTTTTCTGTGGCTGTCTCCAAGTTTAGGTCCTCCACCACCTCTCTTACCCATGGTGTCCCACAAGGTTCTGTGCTGGGGCCTCTGCTCTTCCTCCTCTATCTGCTTCCTCTTCAGCACATCCTGAGCTCCTTCAAAGGAATCTCCTACCATCTTTATGCAGATGACTTCCAACTGTACATCTCCTTTAAGCCCAATGAGATGTCTAAGCTGCAGCTGTTACACACCTGCTTAGACTATCAAAACCTGGATGGTTGGGAGCTTTCTTCAGCTGAATGAAGATAAGACTGAGATCCTCATCTGTGCCCCAGACAAGCTGGTTCCCAAAGTCAGAGACTCTCTTGGTCAGCTTGCTTCTCACACCAAACCTTCCGTCAGGAATCTTGGCATGACCTTTGACACAGCTCTCACTCTGGATTCTCATGTCAGTTCTCTTGTTCACTCTTCCTTCTTCCATCTCAGTAACAATGCTGAGCTGAGTCCCATTCTGTTCCGCTCTGAACTTGAGACAGTTCTCCACACCTTCATCTCCTCACGCTTAGACTACTGTAACTCTCTTTTCACGTGTCTGAGCAGAACCTCCCTGAACCGTCTACAGGTGGTTCAGAATGCCTGTGCTCGGCTTCTGACCAAGTCCTCCAAACACACCCACATCACCCCACTTCTCCTCCAGCTTCACTGGCTGCCAGTCAACTTCAGGGTTCATTTCAAGATCCTGGTTCTGGTCTATAGGGCCTTACATGGACAAGCACCATCTTACATTGGTGATCTTCTTAGTCATTATCACGTGACAGCGACTAGTCGATGACAGGCATAAAAAGTCACTATAGAGCGGTGAAGTCGACTAGTGACTAGTTCATACAACCCATACGGCTCCCCAGTGTGTTCTGCAGAATAATCAGCACGTTCTCTTTGAACTTGATATCAAATTTTTGCCACCTCTTCGTCTCCGCACAGTTAAAGTTACCCTCGCGGTCTATCAATGGCAAATCAAAAGTGAGACGGATGACACAACTGCACCCCGTACTTGCTTGTTACCACATTCCACCCGGCCACAATAAAAAAACGGCCATTATTCACCTCCGCCGACTCCGACCAAAATGTGATACCCGGCCGTTAATTAAATATAGGCTAATATTAGAGGATTTACGGTAGTTTGGTTAACTCAGGCAAAGAAACAGGAGCAAAGCTATCTAGGATGACGGGCCTGGTTGGAGTCGGGAGAGGCGGCGATAAGGCTGAAGGAGAGATGCTAGATCTAACCTTATTGACTTTGTCCACAAAGAAAGACAGAACATTTTCACAGTCTGCAACAGAGTGGATGGAGGCTGTAGGAAAGGTAGGAGAGACGATGCTGCTGATGGTGTTAAACAGCACCTTGGGGTTCCCTTTGCTCTGGGACACCAGGTTGGAGAAATAGGAAACCCTGGCGTCTCTGACTGCAGAGTTAAAGGATGTCAGAAGGTCCTTTAGGTGCAGCAGATGGACGTGGAGATGGGTTTTCTTCCACAAACGCTCAATTTTTCTGCATTGGCGTTTTAGGCTGCGAAGGCTGTCATTAAACCAGGGAGTAGGGTTCACTGCAGGAACTGATCTGGTTCTGACTGGACAGATGTTGTCCAGAATGGAGAGGCAGTGCTCGTTAAACTGAGAAGTTCAGGAATCTGGGTCGTTATCAGAAGAACAGGGTGGATCAAAAGCAGCAGAAAAATTGCTAGCTGTGCTCTCATTAAGAAAATGAGAGCTAACCGTACGGCGAGCAGGAGGTGGGGACGCAGAAACTGACAAGTTAAAGAAAATGCAATGGTGATATGACATATAAACATCCTCAGGACAAACACTGTCAGCATTTAGACTCAGGGTAAAAACAATGTCCAGAGTGTGTGCCCCCTGGTGTGTGTGGGGCCAGAAACATGCTGGGTAAAGCTGAAGGAGTCCTTAAGGCTGGAGAAATTCATGGCAAAGTGATCAGAGGGATCATCAATGTGGATGTTAAAGTCACCAACAATCACCAGTCTGGACAGCTTCACAGTGGAGGATAGAAAGTCACTAAACTCCTGAAGGAAAGAACTGTTTGGACCAGGTGGACGATAGACCACAGCACAGTAGAACGGGTCCTTACTCCCGACTTTAATCAGCTGCAGTTCAAAGGAAGCAAAGTGACCAGAGGTTGTAGAGCTACATGGAAGATGGTCTCTGAAAACAACAGCTAGGCCTCCACCATGACCAAAACCCCGGGGCTGGCTAAGAAAAGAATAACCACTCGGGCAAAGTTCAGTCAGAGCAGAATAATCAGATGTTTGCTGCCAAACTTCAGTCAGAAACAGAAAACGGTCCTGATGCTGGAGCTGTCCATGATGCTGATCATTTAAAAGCTCTGAAAGAGACATCGTAGGTCCAACCGTCCAGCTTAGCTCCATCAGCCCCATGTTTCTACCTGAATTGTCTTCATTAATGTATCTGAGATCATCAACTTCCCATCAGAAATAACTGAGGTTACATTTTTGCGAATCGGCAGACACATCGAGCAAATGTAAGCAATAAATCAAATAAAATGGGACACTTTTCATCTTGCGTCCTGGCTCTTGCCTTTTATGTCACCAGTGTTCATTGAAACAGTGTTTCATAACAATAAACAACAGATTCATCAATCACTTTCTGTGTTATTTAAGAGGATTTTTAGATGAATGATAAGAGCAGCTAAGATTTTCTGCAGGACTGGTTATTGTTCTTTGAAGTCATCCCCATGTTGTTTTCCTTTTTGGTTACATCTTTGTCTTGTCTTGTTGCTCAGTGAACTCAAAGATGTGCTTAATTTAACCACCTCCAGACTTCCAGGCTGCTTCATTCCTAATCTCCTCAGATTATTTTTATGGGTTTGCAGATTCTCAAAGGCTTTGAAGAGTCTTCACTTGAATGATAAAATTCCACTTGAGCTATAAACAAATCATTCAGACAGATAGTGTTTTCTAAACATATAAAATAATTATCTTTTATTTATGATAATTGATTTACAGTTACAGTCGGACAGAGATTATTTAACACTTGCATAGTTTAAATGCTTTTGTACCAGGATACATGGGTTAGGGGTAGGGT